GACCCACACTACCTGACAGTGACACACACACTACCTGACAGTGACCCACACTACCTGACAGTGACCCACACTACCTGACAGTGACCCACACTACCTGGCAGTGACCCACACTACCTGACATTGACCCACACTGCCTGACAGTGACCCACACTATCTGGCAGTGACCCACACTACCCGACAGTGACCCACACTACCTGACAGTGACCCACACTACCTGATAGTGACCCACTCTACCTGGCAGTGACCCACTACCTGACAGTGACCCCACACTATCTGGCAGTGACCCACACTACCTGACAGTGACCCACACTACCTGGCAGTGACCCACACTACCCATTCATGATGTCATCGATCATGAAACCTTTCTTTTTGGGTCTTTCTGGCGGATGGGGCGGGTAAAGTGGACGTGGGGCAGCACCCATGGCACTCCCACCCATGTGTACAGGCCCCTGCATGGGCAGCATAGATGGAGGGCCCACTGATGGTCCCGGACCCCCTAAGACCTGTTCAATGGGTCGCTTTAGGTCGTGGTGAGGTGGTCTATAGACCGGGGGACCAGACCCGCCCCCTCCCACCATGGGGTAGAACCCATGGGCGTGACTGTAGAGGTGGGCGTGTGGGTGTGATGGGGGTCTTGGTGGAGGGGGACCATGAGGTCCCAAAATACCCGAATCTCTACTGCTGTTATTGTGAGAGGTGTGAGGGTGGGAGGTGTGTGTGAGAGGTGTGAGCTGGTCGTGGGAGGTGTGAGCAGTGTGCACATGAGTGGTGTGCGTTTTATGTGGAAGAGTGTTGTGCGCGACGGTGGTGTGCGCGAGTGTGCTGTGCACGTGGGTAGTGTGACTGTGCACGTCTGTCCTGTGCACCTCTTGCTGGTGCAGGACGTGGTGGTGGTGGTGGTCAGTGGACTGGTCCTCCCCGTGCACTCCATTGCCTTCGTCATCGTCCTCTTCAAGTTCCTCCTCCACTTCATCGTCATCCTCCACCTTCTCTGACTCGTAGAAGGAGTAAGCGTCGTCCGGACGACCTGGGTCAATTTCCTCGTCTTCGTCATCGTCTTCTGCCTCTTCTTCCACCTCGTCGTCATCCAGGTCTGTGCCTCCTTCTCTCCTGTCGCATGCGGCAAGCCCCGCCGCTGCTGACGATGATCCTGAGGTGCCCAACTCCCCGTCCTGAGTCGAAGTCTTCCCTTCTTCCGTATCTTTATCCGAAGGCAAATGGCCGCCGATGGAATGCGTCAGCATGTGCCGCCTGAGATCGCAGTTCCTCCTGAAGACGGCGCTGCAGGAGGCGCACTTGTAAGGCTTGAGGTCGGTATGTGTGAGTAAGTGGGTCTTCAGGTTGCTGCGTTGGTTGAAGCTCCTGCCGCAAGTGGGGCACTTGTGTGGCGACTCCTCCATGTGGAGGATCTTGTGCACGGCCAGGGTGCGGCTCTGACAGAAGCCCTTGCCGCACTCGCTGCACTTGAAAGGCTTCTCCTTGCTGTGTATGTACCTGAAGGAGACGCAGAGAGAAACACGCAATTATTACATTAAAAAAAAAGGGCCACAGTATTTCGGAATGATGGTGGGTTTTCTTCAGAGAAGTCACTAGGCCTTGGCAGGGGTCGGCCGCTAAAAAAAAAAAAAAAAAAAAAAAAGAGAGAGACCATGTGCATTGACAGCGGTCCAAGACCGAACGGAACGTCGTTATATATATATATATATATATATATATATATATTTATATATATATATATATATATATATATATATATATATTATATATATATATATATATATATGTCGTGCCGAATAGGCAGAACTTGCGATCTTGGCTTAAATAGCAACGCTCATCTTGCCATATAAGACAAGTGTAAATTTGTGTATGCACAAAAAAATATATTTCACTGTATTTGTTTAGTATTAAATTATTGTAAACAAATCTAAAATATATTTAGTTGGGTTAGACTAAAATAAATTGTTCTTGTTATAATAAGGTTAGGTAAGTTTTCTAAGTTCCTTTTGGTGCAAAATTATAAATTTTTACATCAACATTTATGAAAAAAAATATATCTTTAAACTTATAAGAGAAAATTTTAGAAAGGACTTAATTTTAAATGAGTTCTTGCTAATTGACCAGTTTTACATATTCGGCACGACATATATATATATATATATATATATATATATATATATATATATATATATATATATATATATATATATATATATATATATATATTATATATATATATTGTAACGTAAATGTATATACATATATTTCAATAATTCGAATATTTTATATTAATTTGATAATTAAGAATAACATGAATTATGACTTGATATAATCATTTACAATATTTAAAAAATATTATCAACGTAATAAAGAAAATATTAAATCGAGTTCCCTAACTGAAGTGGATTATTCTTGTGAGATTATCGCCAACTGATTATCGCTTTAGTAGCAAGAATTATGTTTTTTTTTTCAGTGTTGAGCTGAATTATGACGCTCGACGTTCAAATGTAATTATAAAGCTGAAGGAGGGAAACGATTATCGCTGATAATTGGACAGTTTTATGTAGTCCTGTCCTGCGCCTTTTTGCTTTGAGTGTGAGGAAGGTGTCTCGTAGCTGGGTTGGTAGCCCACTCAGCTCACACACTGTCCGGGGGTTGATCCCTGGTACGGGTGGAAATATCAGGACGTGTTTCCCTAAGATACCTGCTGTCCATGTTCACCTAGCAGTAAAATAGGTACCTGGGTGTTAGTCGACTGGTGTGGGTCGCATCCTGGGGACAAAACTGACCTAGTTTGCCCGAAATGCTCTGTATAAAAAGGAACTTTCTATATACAATGTCAATGATGTCAGCTATGATCTGTTTACCCTGTACATGTAATTGTTGAAATAAAGATTATTACTATAATCTGCTAAAGACCCAATCGATAAATTATCTAGGGATTCTTTTCCAATCACATTATTCTTTTCCGGCCGGAGATTTAATCTCTGGGCCTTAGCGATGGGAGCCGCGACCCGCACCACTCAGCTACGGTGGTTGACATCCTTCCCAACCGTAAAATTGCATTCTGAGGTTAAAGATCATGTGCTGTGGGTTGTCAACTTCAAATAGCGGGTAAAAGGTTCAAAGTAGGTTAGATTTGCGAATTTTTGCTGGAAGGTGACGTTAATGAGGCTGTTTCAGTAGTTAGATTGTTTACCTGGAAATAAGTTGTCTCTCCTGTGTGTGGAAGTTCTGAGTTAGTCTACATTGCTTGGTACAGTGTAGGGTGTAGTCAGTACCTGTCTGAAATCATCTGTGGTACAGTGTATGTAGTTAATACTTGCCTGTCACCATGTGTGGTACAGTGTATGTAGTCAGTACCTGTCTGTCACCATCTGCGGTAAAGTGTATGTAGTCAGTACCTGTCTGTCACCATGTGTGGTACAGTGTATGTAGTCAGTACCTGTCTGTCACCATGTGTGGTACAGTGTATGTAGTCAGTACCTGTCTGTCACCATGTGTGGTAAAGTGTATGTAGTCAGTACCTGTCTGTCACCATGTGTGGTACAGTGTATGTAGTCAGTACCTGTCTGTCACCATGTGTGGTAAAGTGTATGTAGTCAGTACCTGTCTGTCACCATGTGTGGTAAAGTGTATGTAGTCTACCTGTCTGTCACCATCTGTGGTAAAGTGTATGTAGTCAGTACCTGTCTGTCACCATGTGTGGTACAGTGTATGTAGTCAGTACCTGTCTGTCATCATCTGTGGTAGAGTGTATGTAGTCAGTGCCTGTCTGTCACCATCTGTGGTACAGTGTCAGTACCTGTCTGTCACCATCTGTGGTACAGTGTATGTAGTTAGTACCTGTCATCATCTGTGGTACAGTGTATGTAGTCAGTACCTGTCTGTCATCATCTGTGGTACAGTGTATGTAGTCAGTACCTGTCTGTCACCATCTGTGGTACAGTGTATGTAGTTAGTACCTGTCTGTCACCATCTGTGGTACGATGTAAGCATGTAGTCAGTAACTATCACCACCATCTGTGATACAGTGTCAACCACCGCCCCCTGAGTCAACATACTCTCCTTGGTATGTTCTTTTCAGTCTATATATTCGTTTTATCTCGTTCTCAATTCCACAGAGGTTAATATTCAACTACCGATACAGATATATATGTCAAGATAACACGAGTGTAGGCTCTATTCGATACCAAATTGTATTACATCTGTCAAAATAACACTAGTGTAAAGTTCTATGTACAAAGTCATGATGGCAAGACAAAATAATATTAGCATAAGCTGTTTTGTGGGTGTACAAAGTCAACATATGTTGGTGAGACGTAGTGTGGATCCCTGCATGTATATATTATGTTGTCACAGCTGTTGCTACTGCTAGCACTACACCTGCTACTGCTAGTACCGCTACTGTTGTTAGTTCTTCTACTGCTAGTACCAGTACTGTTGTTGCTGCTGATGTTAGTCCTACTACTGCTAGTACCACTAGTGTTGTTGTTACTGCTGTTAGTCCTACTACTGCTAGTACCACTAGTGTTGTTGCTGCTGCTGTTAGTCCTACTACTGCTAGTACCACTAGTGTTGTTGCTGCTGCTGTTAGTCCTACTACTGCTAGTACCACTAGTGTTGTTGCTACTGCTGTTAGTCCTACTACTGCTAGTACCACTAGTGTTGTTGCTGCTGCTGTTAGTCCTACTACTGCTAGTACCACTAGTGTTGTTGCTACTGCTGTTAGTCCTACTACTGCTAGTACCACTAGTGCTGTTGCTGCTGCTGTTAGTCCTACTACTGCTAGTACCACTAGTGTTGTTTGCTGCTGCTGTTAGTCCTACTACTGCTAGTACCACTAGTGTTGTTGCTGCTGCTGTTAGTCCTACTGCTGCTAGTACCACTAGTGTTGTTGCTACTGCTATTAGTCCTACTACTGCTAGTACCACTAGTGTTGTTGCTACTGCTGTTAGTCCTACTACTGCTAGTACCACTAGTGTTGTTGCTGCTGCTGTTAGTCCTACTACTGCTAGTACCACTAGTGTTGCTGCTGCTGCTGCTGTTAGTCGTACTACTGCTAGTACCACTAGTGTTGCTACTGCTGTTAGTCCTACTACTGCTAGTACCACTAGTGTTGTTGTTACTGCTGTTAGTCCTACTACTGCTAGTACCACTAGTGTTGTTGCTGCTGCTGTTAGTCCTACTACTGCTAGTACCACTAGTGTTGTTGCTACTGCTGTTAGTCCTACTACTGCTAGTACCACTAGTGCTGTTGCTGCTGCTGTTAGTCCTACTACTGCTAGTACCACTAGTGTTGTTGCTGCTGCTGTTAGTCCTACTACTGCTAGTACCACTAGTGTTGTTGCTGCTGCTGTTAGTCCTACTACTGCTAGTACCACTAGTGTTGTTGCTACTGCTGTTAGTCCTACTACTGCTAGTACCACTAGTGTTGTTGCTGCTGCTGTTAGTCCTACTACTGCTAGTACCACTAGTGTTGTTGCTGCTGCTGTTAGTCCTACTACTGCTAGTACCACTAGTGTTGCTGCTGCTGCTGCTGTTAGTCGTACTACTGCTAGTACCACTAGTGTTGCTACTGCTGTTAGTCCTACTACTGCTAGTACCACTAGTGTTGCTACTGCTGTTAGTCCTACTACTGCTAGTACCACTAGTGTTGTTGCTGCTGCTGTTAGTCCTACTACTGCTAGTACCACTAGTGTTGTTGCTGCTGCTGTTAGTCCTACTACTGCTAGTACCACTAGTGTTGCTGCTGCTGCTGCTGTTAGTCCTACTACTGCTAGTACCACTAGTGTTGCTACTGCTGTTAGTCCTACTACTGCTAGTACCACTAGTGTTGTTGCTACTGCTGTTAGTCCTACTACTGCTAGTACCACTAGTGTTGTTGCTACTGCTGTTAGTCCTACTACTGCTAGTACCACTAGTGTTGTTGCTACTGCTGTTAGTCCTACTACTGCTAGTACCACTAGTGTTGCTACTGCTGTTAGTCCTACTACTGCTAGTACCACTAGTGTTGTTGCTACTGCTGTTAGTCCTACTACTGCTAGTACCACTAGTGGTGTTGCTACTGCTGTTAGTCCTACTACTGCTAGTACCACTAGTGTTGTTGCTGCTGCTGTTAGTCCTACTACTGCTAGTACCACTAGTGTTGTTACTGCTGTTAGTCCTACTACTGCTAGTACCACTAGTGTTGTTGCTACTGCTGTTAGTCCTACTACTGCTAGTACCACTAGTGTGGTTGCTACTGCTGTTAGTCCTACTACTGCTAGTACCACTAGTGGTGTTACTACTGCTGTTAGTCCTACTACTGCTAGTACCACTAGTGTTGTTGCTACTGCTGTTAGTCCTACTACTGCTAGTACCACTAGTGTTGTTGCTGCTGCTGTTAGTCCTACTACTGCTAGTACCACTAGTGTTGTTGCTACTGCTGTTAGTCCTACTACTGCTAGTACCACTAGTGTTGTTGCTACTGCTGTTAGTCCTACTACTGCTAGTAC